TACACTAGCAGTTGACTCTAAAACATGGGAGAATGCCTAATAGTATCAGGGTCTGTGTTTAAAAAAAACAAGAGAGAAGAGGTTCCTTTTTTTAGATATAAGGAGATAATCTCTCCAGACATTAACTCATATATCCTAGGTTGCTGGATATAAAGTATCAAAGATAAGGTTGGGATCAACTATATCTTTTATCTGAATCTGAATCAAAAGGTTATCTTGTGTAATACTGCTCTTCAATCAGAGCTAGTACTTTCTTACACAATTTCAGAAAATGAAATCTGTTAGTATAAACATCCTTTTGAATATATCCCTTGCCTACACACCAAGATTGGGGTTTCTCAGCCTCTCACAGCCTCCATCTGTAGCCAAGTGCTTTGAGAATTCTTCAGGGAATTTTCAACCTCAGCTGAGGCCCCTAGGGAGAAGCTGCTGGGCTCTTCAAAAGAACCCTGAGTTTCAAGCAGGAAATCTTATAGTTGGGCTACCATTTTTCCTGAGTTCTGACTGGAAGTAACGCACCCCACCCACGTTTCTCTCCAGCTGTTGCTGTTCAGGTATGTAATGCAAAAAAAAAAAAAAAAGAAGATTACTGGGGCACGTAGAATCAGACACTGTACTCTCAATCTTGGTTACATCCAAATCCCCACATCAAATTAGTCAAAGAAGTTTTGAGAAGCGGATGGCCTGGGAATAGTCAGTCTTCACTTTGTCATTGTCTGTGACCCTGTAAAATTCATCTTCATTGTCCATTTTCATTCTTGCTGCCTCTCATCTCTTTCCTCCTCATTAGGAATAGTAAAATAGTTCCTTTACCTTTAAATTTAAAATTACGATCTCTACTTTGCTTACCTTAAAACTGTACTATGATAATTAAATATTAAAATGAATTTGTTCATGCTCTGTAACACCAATGTTTAATGTAACACTTTACACTAATATGAGGTCATAATTGTCTTTGGGAGTAATTTTGCAGACTGTCACCAACACAGATGTTGATCATTGTAAATACCATTGTGTACAATTATATGAAGTATAAGAGAAAGAGGGAGTCAGATGTCATTGAAATCTGTTTAGCCCATCTCTTCTCTATTTCTGCTGCAGACTGCAGATTATAGATGATAGCCTTTTACACCAATAAATTAGAGCTGAAGGATGGTTCAAGGGTGTATGATGTTGTCTAGTGTCAGCTGACACTTCTCTGATCCATTAATTTGGAGGAAGTGGTGATAATAATTGGTGTGGGATACTATCATTGCAACTTTTCATTAAGCAGGCAGAATGAAACTTCTCTGTCTGGAGATATAGGATGAAATAGATTGTTTCTACCTCTTCTATTTCTCAAACTCTGAAATCTCTCAATGTGGAATGGATGGAAACCAGCTTGACTGAGTCTGCTGGCTGAAAAGTCACATATATATTTAAACTCTTATTTGTATCTCTACTTAACATATGGAAAAATTTCCCTTCTTTATTATCATTCATTTTTAAGGTTTTGTTGAAACTTTTTTTCTTCCATCACTGTTCTCAGTGTTGGAGTCAGATTGCATTGTTGCCTGTGCCACCAACAGCATGCTATTCAAATCTTATGATATTCCCTTCTTCCTTCACAGCCCATCTTCTCTCCAAGTCTCCACTTTTCTCCTGCATTTCTCTTGTTTGCTAGAAGTGCCTCTTTATATCTTTTTTTGTTTGTTTCTCCTTTGGGATCATAAAACAACATTAATTTCAGTATTATATTAATTATTGCATTATTATCTGTTTTACTGCTTGTTTTGATTTGAAGTTTGAATGGCAAAATCTTGGCATGGACATCTTGTCTTTCTTTTTTCTCAGCCGTTCAATGCTTCTTCACTTTACTGATCAATAAAAGAAGCTTTTTAGAAAGAGTACCCTCAACTTTCCATCTCTCTTCCTTAATATATCCTACCTTCACCTATCATGTAGATTTTTTCCTGGAGGAAAATTACAAGTAACATACATGTCTTACATATTCCTCCCCATTCACTGATAGTGTAAGCCTGTATAGTCTTTCTCCAATCTATGGAAATATTCTCTGAAAAAGCAATATGAACTCACCATAATAAGTGCAATACCTTTTAAAAAACCCACATCATACACCATCTCTTTTTCTTAGTCAACAGTAGTGACTTGACTTCAGTCACATTATACACTACTATTTTTATCCGATTTCTTTTCTCCCATCTCTGTCTCTTTTCTAGTTCTAATTTTATGTTCTACTCTCATTTAAAATAATTTCCAATATTATGAACAGAGCCTTGTCTTTTCTTCCACACTGCATCTCCTAGCAATTTTCTCCATTTTCTTGGGAGATCCTATAATTTAAGCCTCCACTCAACCCAAAGATCACTACCTACAATACCCTCTAGGCAATCTTCCCAAGAATTTTTTTTTAAGTTAACATTCGGCATGTCCCAATTGAACTTAGTCCTCACAGAACACATTTCCTCACATCTGTCATGGGCACAGTTGAAATGGTTACCGATACATATATCTGGTATAGTTTCGTTTTGTTTTTTGATTTTTTTTTTCAATTATCTGACTTTTGTAAGACCTAAAGTAGTAGTAGTCCTACTACAGTACTAGTAGTAGTCCCACTACAGAAGTAGGAAATATGATGTAAGACAATAATGTAGACTCTGGAATACACTGTCAGAGTTTGAATTCCATCCTCAACCCTTACTTGCTCCATAAATTTACCCAGGTCACTTCATCTCTCTGGGCCATGGTTTTCTGACCTGTAATGTGCTGCTTAGAATAGAATCTATCTATTGCTCATGTGATCATTGTGAGAGTTGAATGGCATAATAAACACTAAGCACTTAGGAAGGTGACAGAAAGGTAACATATTAAACATGAGCTATTTTAACCTTTTTATGCATGTGATAAATAATATACTAGTCACACTACATTAAAATACGTAGAACCCATTAGAGTGTGGCTTACAATAAACATAACTGAATAAAAGTTCAGAAGGCAGAGGTAAAGGAGAGCCTGGTTTCAGGTATTATAGGACAGACCTAAACCTCTGTGTCATATTATCCAAACCCCAGAGGCAGAGCTCACTCTGAGAGCCTTAAGATTTACTTTCTTTAGGCTAGAGATTAGAGGCTTTTCCTGACTATTTCAGGTTTTTCTTTGTTATCACTATTTTAGAGCTGATGTTTCCCACCTCCATAACTCCATTTCTATATCTAGTCTCAGCTTAACCACCGTGATGACAGAAACACATGTCTCTCCTAATATCTCTCAGAACTAAGCCCTGAAGCATCCTGTCCTAGAAGTATTTGTTTTTTGAAGACTGCCTTTTCAGACATTTCTCAGTTCCAGACTTCAAATTTGCACATTGACATTTGCCTCCTCAGCCATCAAAGGCTTTTATGTAAATTCAGGAAAGGGATCCCTCTGATCACAAGTTACAAGCTTACGCAGTCCAACAAATATTTACTCAATGCTTCCCCTGCATTCCCCTGAAGGCCAGTACTGTGGAATGAAAGACAATCCCCAGCCAGATTATAAATACGTTTGAAGGCTATTGATATGCAGCTGATTCTAAAAGACAATTATGCACAATGGTTGTGTATAGTACCAGTTCCACATATAGATGCTGCAGCTTTAAATGCTTTGCTGATTGAATTGGAGATATATTTTTTTTCAGGGAGGAACATATGGAATAGGTGCCATCTGAGGTGACCTAATTAAACTTCTGAGAGTCCAATACAGATGAACATATCACCATAAGCCTAAATCACACAGCATCCATGAGCTATAGAAATCACCTATGACAATCACCTTCCTAGACCCTCCAGAAAAGGCTAATAGATCAGGTGCCCCAATTCTTTGATGATTCATCTACAGATCCTTCCTGGTTCACTGACCCCAAGACAGGTGAGTGAGCATTCAGCCCTGTTATTCTCCAGAAATCCCATTCTATATTGCAGGTGGGTGAATTCAAGGTTATAAAGCCATGAGAATCCTTTATAACAGCAGCCTCCAGAAAGACACTTTCTTCCTGACGGGCTTCCAAGGTCTGGAAGATCTCCACGGCTGGATCTCTATTCCCTTCTGCTTCATCTATTTGACAGTTATCACAGGCAACCTTACCATCATCCATGTCATCCGTACGGATGTCACCCTCCATGAACCCATGTACTATTTCTTGGCCATGCTGGCCCTCACAGACCTGGGCCTTTGCCTTTCTACACTGCCCACGGTGATGGGCATCTTCTGGTTTGATGCCAGGGAAATTGGTATCCCTGCCTGCTTCACTCAGCTCTTCTTCATTCATACTTTGTCCCTAGTGGAGTCTTCGGTCCTGTTATCCATGTCCATTGACCGCTATGTGGCCATCTGCCACCCTCTGCGTTATTCCACAGTCTTGACACCTGCACGTATCATCAGGATGGGGCTGAGTTCAGTGTTCAGAAGTGCGCTGCTCATCCTTCCCCTGCCATTCCTCCTTAAGCGCTTCCAGTACTGCCACTCGCATGTGCTGGCCCACGCCTATTGTCTACACCTAGAGATCATGAAGCTGGCCTGTTCTAGCATCATCGTCAATCACATCTATGGGCTCTTTGTCGTGGCCTGCACTGTTGGTGTGGACTCACTGCTCATCTTCCTCTCGTACGCCCTTATCCTCCGCACCGTCTTAAGCATCGCCTCCCACCATGAGCGCCTTCGGGCCCTCAACACCTGTGTCTCTCATACCTGCGCTGTGCTCCTCTTCTACATTCCCATGATTGGCTTGTCTCTTGTGCACCGCTTCGGTGAGCATCTGCCCCGCACTGTACACCTCCTCATGTCATATGTGTATCTGCTGGTCCCACCATTCATGAACCCCATTGTCTACAGCATCAAGACCAAGCAAATCCGCCAACGCATTGTTAAGAAGTTTGAGTTTATAAAATTACTCAGGGGTTTTCGGCAGGATTAGTTTAGAGAAAGAGAAGTTCGGGGCATAAAGCCCATAGCTATTTTTTATTTCAGCTGTCCCTGTTGCTCAGACTCGTACGGATGTCACCCTCCATGAACCCATGTACTATTTCTTGGCCATGCTGGCCCTCACAGACCTGGGCCTTTGCCTTTCTACACTGCCCACGGTGATGGGCATCTTCTGGTTTGATGCCAGGGAAATTGGTATCCCTGCCTGCTTCACTCAGCTCTTCTTCATCCATACTTTGTCCCTAGTGGAGTCTTCAGTCCTGTTATCCATGTCCATTGACCGCTATGTGGCCATCTGCCACCCTCTGCGTTATTCCACAGTCTTGACACCTGCACGTATCATCAGGATGGGGCTGAGTTCAGTGTTCAGAAGTGCGCTGCTCATCCTTCCCCTGCCATTCCTCCTTAAGCGCTTCCAGTACTGCCACTCGCATGTGCTGGCCCACGCCTATTGTCTACACCTAGAGATCATGAAGCTGGCCTGTTCTAGCATCATCGTCAATCACATCTATGGGCTCTTTGTCGTGGCCTGCACTGTTGGTGTGGACTCACTGCTCATCTTCCTCTCGTACACCCTTATCCTCCGCACCGTCTTAAGCATCGCCTCCCACCATGAGCGCCTTAGGGCCCTCAACACCTGTGTCTCTCATACCTGCGCTGTGCTCCTCTTCTACATTCCCATGATTGGCTTGTCTCTTGTGCACCGCTTCGGCGAGCATCTGCCCCGCACTGTACACCTCCTCATGTCATATGTGTATCTGCTGGTCCCACCACTCATGAACCCCATTGTCTACAGCATCAAGACCAAGCAAATCCGCCAACGCATTGTTAAGAAGTTTGAGTTTATAAAATCACTCAGGGGTTTTCGGCAGGATTAGTTTAGAGAAAGAGAAGTTCGGGGCATAAAGCCCATAGCTATTTTTTATTTCAGCTGTCCCTGTTGCTCAGACTGTAAAGGATCTGCCTGCAATGCAGGAGACCTGAGTTTGATACCTGGGTCAGGAAGATCCCCTGGAGAAGGGAATGACAATCCACTCCAGTATTCTTCCTGGAGAATCCCATGGACCAAGAATCCTGGCACGCTATAGTCCATAGGGTCACAAAGAGTTGGACATGACTGAGTGGCTAAAACTACTACTACTAGGGAAAAGTAACGAACTTCCAATTATCAACAAAAAGGAAATAAATAGGCAATATACCACATGTGTGACCTTGGGAAAATTACTCAATTTCTCTGTTCTTTAATTTCCTCAATTGCAGAATGAAAATGTAAATAATTATAATACCTTCCTTATAGGAATATTGTGAAGATCAAATGAGATCATTCATGAAACTCTGTAACACAGTGCCTGAAGCATTATCAATTCTCAACAAATATTGCCTGCTATTACTTGGAAAATCAAGAGAGTACACAAATTTCATCTTACATTCCTCCAGTCAGTGGAATTTGATCAGAGATTTATAATTTATATTTGCATTTTGGTTAATTTATGTTGCTTTATCATAATTATCACTTCTATTCATTTGCAACAGCCTTGCAGATACCCATACCTATGCCTGAATTAATAACTTTTCATGAGGCTTCTTCCTAAGTACACCCCCACAAAGTTAAGAAAAAGAAGACACTCTAGGAGCTTGAGGTAGGTTCTCCAGTTAGAAAAACATCAGAACAATAATCATAGTTGAGCCTTTCTAAAGGTAGTTAAGGTTTAGGGTAATCATCATCATCTGAATAACTGGTCAAGGGATTTAGTTTCTTTCTTCAGTTATCCTGTTATTACAGAGGTGAAAAGTGAGAGAAACACATGCATATTTTATGCTTTTTGCAAGATGCTTTTCTCATGTCAATGTCTAGCTTAAAAACAACACACACACACACAATACACACAGAACTACAAAAAAGTTTTAATATATATGGATTGAATAAATCAACACATGAAGGAATCAGTGAGTGAATTAATCAAAACAGCTTCATCTTTCTTGATAAGACTATTTCTTAAAGAGATTGTTTTTCTTCATTTTGTATGCTTCAGTTCGATTTTTATCTCTTTCTTGTAATATTGGGAAAGATATAAAGCAATCAACTGCCAGAAAACTGAAAAAAATTCATGTTGATATATGGCAGAAACCAGCACAATATTGTAAAACAATTATCCTCCAATTAAAAAGAAATAATTCAAAAAAAAGTCTGTGCTGTGAACTTAATACTTGAGCTCCCATGTGTGCATGCTAAGTTACACTCTTTGCAACCCATGGACTGTAGCCCTCCAGGTTGCTCTGTCCATGAGATTCTCCAGACAAGAATACTGGAGTGGGTTGCCATGCCCTCCTTCAGAGGATCTTCACAACCCAGGAATTGAACCCATGTCTTTTATGTCTCCTACACTGGCAAGCAGGTTCTTTACCACTAGTTCTACCTTGGAGGCCCCTTTTGTGTTCCTGCCCCCTACCCTCAAAATTCATATTATGAAGGCTAATCTCCAATGTGATGGTATTTTGAGATGGGGTCTTTGGAAGGAAGTTGCCTCATGAGAGTAGAGGTCTCAAGAATAAGATTAGCACCCTTACAAGAAGAGACATAAGAGAGATGATCTCTCTCTACCATGTGAAGACACAGAGAGAGGAAAACTGCACATCCAGAACAAGAACCCTTAGCAAGAACCCAGTCAGCCCACACCTTGGTCTTGGACTTCTCAGCCTCCTGAATTTTGAAAAATAAATGTTTGTTTTTTAAACCCAGTCTGTTACAACAGCCCAAATAGAGTGAGTCCAAATTCTAGGACTATAAAGGAGATAATAATCACATAGTAACACACACCAAGAATTGATGAGAAAAACAAACCTCAGAGTAATTAGGGTGCTCAGAATTGGGCAGAAAATGTGTTCTGAAGGAGTACTAATAATGTTCATGATAGTAATGACAGACTGTTGCATATGTATATGAGCTAATGGATCTAAGATTTCTCTTCAGAGCCAAAAGCAAGGAGTCTTCCATGACTGGCAGCACATAACCCTTGTCTTTTATTTTAATGGTCATTCCAGAGAAATTATATGCCTGGACATGAACTTGAGCAAACTCCAGGAGATAGTGAAGGACAAAGGAGCCCGGCATGCTGCAGCCCATGCAGTGTCAGAGTCAGACAAAACTTAATAACTGGGTAACATCAGCAACTTGTCATCCCCATCTTTTCTTTTTCCTAAGCAATTCAATGATGTTATACATTTTTAAGTATGAGTATCACTTTTGTGAACCCATGTATCAATTATTGACTCTGTTGGCATTCCTGGAATTGGGTTTGGCCTTTTCTACTCTCCTTAGTGCCCTGGCTATTATGGTTTAATCTGTGTTATGTTGTTATAGATGCCCACTTCACTCAGCAGTTCTTCATTTATCGTTTCTCCTTCTGGGAGTCTTCAGTCCTCACCACAACCTTAGCTACTGGATGTCATTTCTCATTCACTGAGATGGACCTCCTTGTTTATTGTTTCCAGAGTCCAATAGGTAGACTCCGGGGCCAGGAACCTGACTCTCATCCTCTCCCTGCCCTTCTTCCTAAGATGCTGTATGCACCAGGATAACACAAACCTGACATGTTCAGGTAAAACTGTCACCTACATTTATGGCCTAAAGGCACTGGATTCAGGTTTAAGCATGGATACTGTCCACTTACATAACCCTTGTCTTTTATTTTAATGGTCATTCCAGAGAAATTATATGCCTGGACATGAACTTGAGCAAACTCCAGGAGATAGTGAAGGACAAAGGAACCCGGCATGCTGCAGCCCATGCAGTGTCAGAGTCAGACAAAACTTAATAACTGGGTAACATCAGCAACTTGTCATCCCCATCTTTTCTTTTTCCTAAACAATTCAATGATGTTATACATTTTTAAGTATGAGTATCACTTTTGTGAACCCATGTATCAATTATTGACTCTGTTGGCATTCCTGGAATTGGGTTTGGCCTTTTCTACTCTCCTTAGTGCCCTGGCTATTATGGTTGAATCTGTGTTATATTGTTATAGATGCCCACTTCACTCAGCAGTTCTTCATTTATCGTTTCTCCTTCTGGGAGTCTTCAGTCCTCACCACAACCTTAGCTACTGGATGTCATTTCTCATTCACTGAGATGGACCTCCTTGTTTATTGTTTCCAGAGTCCAATAGGTAGACTCCGGGGCCAGGAACCTGACTCTCATCCTCTCCCTGCCCTTCTTCCTAAGATGCTGTATGCACCAGGATAACACAAACCTGACATGTTCAGGTAAAACTGTCACCTACATTTATGGCCTAAAGGCACTGGATTCAGGTTTAAGCATGGATACTGTCCACTGCTCACCTCCTACAGCCTCATATTGCATATGTGGTCAGCATGACAGTACCTCAGTGATCACTCTTGGTGTTGCACATTCTATGCTTTAGACAAGTGTATAGTGATGTGTGTCTGTTATTATTGTACCATACAATGTATTTTCACTGTTCTACAATTCCCCTGTACTCTGCCTATTCAAATCTCTCCCCAAACCCATCCTCTGGAAACTACTGAGCTTTTTACTGTCTCTGTAGCTTTGCCTTATCTGGAATATCATATATTTGGAATCATATAGCATGTAGCCTTTCCAGATTGACTTCTTTCACATAATACTGTGCATTTAAATATTCTACATGTTTTCACGATTTGACAACTCTTTTCCTGTTTGCTTGTTTGTTTGTTTGTACTCCATTTTTTTAATCAGAGTGTAGTTACTTTACAATGCTGTTAGTTTCTGCTGTATAATAAAGTGAACCAGCTATATGTACAAATATACCCCTCCTTCCTGGACCTCCCTCCTCCCGCATCCCCTCCGTCATGGTCACCACAGAGCCCAGAGCTGAGTTCCCTGTGTTATGAATCAGGTTCCTGCTAGCTGTCTATTTCACACATAGTAGTGTATTAGGTGGAGAAGGAAATGGCAACCCACTCCAGTGTTCTTGCCTAGAGAATCCCGTGGACAGAGGAGCCTGGTGGGTTGCTGTCCATGGGGTCACACAGAGTCGGACACGACTGAAGCGACTTAGCATGCATGCATGCATTGGAAAAGGACTATTATATATTTGGAATCATATAGCATGTAGCCTTTCCAGATTGACTTCTTTCACATAATACTGTGCATTTAAATATTCTACATGTTTTCACGATTGGACAGCTCTTTTCCTGTTTGTTTGGGTTTTTTGTACTCTATTTTTTTGATCGGAGTATAGCTACTTTACAATGCTGTTAGTTTCTGCTGTATAATAAAGTGAACCAGCTATATGTACACATATACCCCTCCTTCTTGGACCTCCCTCCTCCCGCATCCCCTCCGTCGTGGTCACCACAGAGCCCAGAGCTGAGTTCCCTGTGTTATGAATCAGGTTCCTGCCAGCTGTCTATTTGACACATAGTAGTGTATTAGGTGGAGAAGGAAATGGCAACCCACTCCAGTGTTCTTGCCTGGAGAATCCCGTGGACAGAGGAGCCTGGTGGGCTGCCGTCTATGGGGTCTCAAAGAGTCGGACACGACTGAAGCGACTTAGCGGCAGCAGCAGCAGCAGTGTATTAGGGCTTCCCCCGTGGCTCAGAGGTTAAAGCGTCTGCCCGCAATGCGGGAGACCGGAAGGAAATGGCAACCCACTCCAGTATTCTTGCCTGGAGAATCCCATGGACAGAGGAGCCTGGTGGGCTGCAGTCCATGGTGTTGCAAAGAGTCAGACACGACTGAGCGACTTCATTTCACTTCAGTGTGTATATGCCAATCTCCCAATTCACCTCACTCCCCTTCCCCAACCCCGCTGTATTCACGTGTCTATTCTCAATATCTGCATAACTATTCCTACATTTGCTGCATATACCACAGTTT